TGAAACGGCTTCTCCATCTGCAGTACAATCAGAATTCTCAGTAAATTAAAGAGCCCACATAGAGTCAGCACATGTCACTGAGATACTTACGTGCTCATAATTAAGATTGAATAATGTTTTGTTGTGCTGGGACTAATGACCCTTGCAGTGCAAAGCACAGAACTGCATCTCTGAGAAGCTAAACACCTCTTACCACTTCATTCAAAGGCACTTGCAAACATTCTGCATCTCCCAGGCTTGGAACTGTAACATATGTTAATGTCCTTTATATTGCTAACATTATGAGTGGGTTACAGACACATCAATCACTTGATTCATTCATGTTCTTCTGGTCAAGGAATTTTTACTTATGGTCTTTCTTCTGCTCAGTACATCAAAGTAATTTGAAGATTTTACAAGATTATGTTTAGCAATTCATTTTGAAATATGGTGAAATAAAAATAGGGGAGAAGCTCTATCATTTCAACTCTCAAACTGCAGTTTCAAGATGCAAAATGATCACTGAGGTTTCAATGAAGGTTCCTAAGAGGTGAAGCACTGAGAGATTAAATAGCTATATCTATGAGGTATTTCAATTTTCTGTTTGAAGCAATCAGGTTTCAGTAAAATGGCATGATAATGAGATGAAGAATCTAGTACTATATCTTGGAAGGTAACACTCTCAATTTCTAAACATTACCTGTACATTGTAACACAAGCAGAACCATGGCCTTTACTGGGAGAAAGAAAGCATTTGTATTCAAAACCATACCAAGTATGAGTATTTTTAAAAATAATTTTCCAGGCTTTAAAACCAAACTGCAATTATCTTTTTAAGGAAAAATATTAGATACTTTTCCTCTTTCAATATTTACCAATGCACCAAAGTAGTTGTTGTAAGGGCTAATGGTACATTAAAGCCACTGAGTCTATTTAGTATGGTTTATTACAAACCTTCACCAATAAACACACAGTGGTTCAAATTAGAGCATATTTGAAAAATCTACTCTAAAAATAATTGCATCCCAACGAGGTGGCCATCACAATTTCAAAGTAAATCTGTTTTCTAAAGAGACAGATAAGTCCATACAGTATGACTGAAATTACTGACAAGTATGACAAGCTGATAAATTGCAGACTTTAGAGGTTAACTTCCCTATATATGAAGCCCCTTACAACTAGAATAAAGAACTTTCACTAAAAATGCTTGCTTAAAGAAATAATTTGCTTCAACTTATTAATATATTTCATTTTGCTGCTTTTATGTTGCTTTTTTTTTAAGACATCACACATGCATTTCATTCTACAATCATCTAACTTGACTCTGGCAATAAACTAGGAACTTAAACTTATCAGACATATGGTTCTGCAGATTGAAAGCTTTCAGAAACTGACAAGCTAGTAACAACCCAGATTGCAATTAAGAAGTACAGAATTCGTAAATCAAGAGACATGGATATTTGTGCTGCCATTTAAATTAGCAGATCCATTAAAAATAATTTAAAAAAATAAAATATCATGCCATAAAACACTGGTAGGGCAACTTCATACCTCAGAAATAAAACAAACTACATTAAATCTGATGTGCCTAAAAAAAAAACCAATGACAATTTACATTTTTTCTCTTATTAACTTCTTCCTTGTAAAGCTTTCATTTACAATGTTGCTATCCAAGTTCTATTTCTAAATAGTACAGGGAACACAAACACAGAAATCTCCAATGCTCATAGTTCACTAAATTTTATGAAATCTACGTTCCTCTTTTCTTCCTCCAATTTCATATTTTGCTATATGGCAAATGTATTTTCTAGGATTTTTCAAATGTTATCTGGTTTTCCTTCACTGTTTTGCTTATCTTCATTTCCTCACTTTCTACCCTCCTCTATGAACTCATTTGCTCTTCCTTAGATTTTGCATTTCAAAATAATGGTTTGATATTTGACACTTAAGACTAAATATCCCAGTAAACACCAGGGATATTATACCTCTGCTCATGGAAAGGTATATATAACTTCATAGTTAACAAATTTTATTTACAGTATATAGGGCATACCTGCAAGCACTATGCAAACAAAACCTGGTATTCTTTGTTTCCACAGATTTCATGGTTAGGGAAATAGAAGTTATTCAGTGTGAGAGAAAACGTGTCTCTCTAGAAATTATATATCTCCTGTCAACAGGATTCTTAAATTAATTTTTCTGCTGTTCAGGAGCTTTTTCTTCTTCAGTATAAATAAGTTTATGAGCTCAAATGTCTTGCCCTCATAACATGTTATGTGAAAGCACAAAGTGACATACAACAACAGTGTAATTTAGAACTTATATCAAGTCTGAGACTAGGAAAGCAGATTTATTTGAAAAATGAAGACTAAAACATTTATGGAGACTCAATGAAGCAAAATATTTCTTGAAAATATATTGATTTTCATTAGAATGCTATTGTGAAGACAATTGTGACTTTCTACTTAAAAGTAATTGGTGGAGAAAAGCTGTATAACATTTGCCAGGTATAATGCAGGCAGAGAGCTATTTTTTTATTACTTGTTTTTTTCAAATTAATAAATGAGTATTTATTTTCAACGATGTTATTAGCTAAGAAGCAAAATTATTCAAAGATTAGATCCAACTTAAGTCATCTCAAAATTATTGCACAATCATATAAGCCATGCCTATAAACCTATTTTGGCAAGATTATTTGAAAAACTTTGTCTTCCTCCCCATTCCTACACCAGTACAGAACTATTGTTTCTTTGAGGTTTTTATATCAAGCAATAAACTGCACAAGATTCAAGAGTTAAGGGAGTACTTTTACTTCCTATTCATAACAAACTTTTGCAATAACATTATGGAAGAAGATTCACATATCAAGAATTTGAGATACACCACTTTGAACTCTTAAAAAAAGCACCCCAAAAAACTTTAAAGAAAGGACCTTGAAGTTCTCTGGAAAGCAAGAGAACTATTTTTTAAGGAAACAGTGAATTTCCCACCAATTTTTTAGCTGGCACTTCCCCTCAAGTCCTCTGCATAAGACTGGAGGAACTTATTAAGAAACTCCCTCTTTCCCTACATTATGTTTGCCCTCATCACAGTCCATACTACTGTCCTGAAATCTGAAGGAAAAAATAATGCTTTTTGTCACCTCAGAGACTATGCATCTGCTCTTTGCCTGTGCTTCTCACTTTCCTCCCCTTTCTTCATATTCCCAGCTCTCTGGTGTTCCTCTATCACACTCAGGGTATCTTCCTTGAACTGTGTAAGTTTTTCCTGGTTATGTACCCATGCAGAAGAACTAATCACTTTTCTCTTATGTAAATTCTCTTTGACTGAAAGTGCTGTACTGAAGATAGGCAATAAGGCACTCCTTCCTAATGTGTGTAGTCTTCTACACACATTTACATAAAAAAGGCAAATAGATGTGAGCTGACTCACACCTAAAAGAAGTAACACAAAGCCTGTGAAAATATCACACACTATGAAGCTTATCTTTTAGGGTTATGTTTTCACTGGGTCAGAAAAAATATTGCCATTTCATGGTGATTATCTGTTGTTCTTGCAAAGAGAAAACATGACTTATGCATGCTTGCAAATACCCTTGAAGATAAATCAGAGCTTGCTTATTAATTACAACCAAATTCCTTTATGATCTTCCATTTTTTTGGTGATTTTCTCATCCCATTACACATAATTCAGATTTTAGATCTCAGCATTAAAAGAATAATAAATTATATACCAAATATCTGAGATGTGGCACAGATCTTTGTGAACTGTGTGATACTTTAGATATGTAGTAGTCACAAGTCTTCAAATGTACTATGATGAGCAATTTCATTCACCCAAAAATATTTCAATAAGTTCTTTTAAAGAATCATAAACAATTTTAAATTTTTTTGAAATCAATGTTTTTCAGTCTTTTTCTCATGTTTGTACAACAAAAGAGACTGAAAATATAAAAGTAATATATAAATCTAAGAAATATTTTGATAAAAAGGTTGGATTTTTTCAAAACACATCTGTTCAGTCCTAATACAATTTCATTCAAAAGAAGATCATATGAATTCTGCTCTTACAGCTCATTTAACTCTACTGACTAGCTTAGGCGTGTAACACAGAGAAATCACAGAACTTGCTCCAAAAGTGTAACATGGGTATAACTACCTGAACTGTAGTGATAAAAAACACAGCTAAACCTGTGAATTGTAATGTGTTATTAGTTGCAGAAAAGAGTAAATAAAATAAGGACAAAAACACTGAACAAGAGAAAGAGATTCACTGAAATGTGCTCTATTACTTCAATAATCATTTCAGTAGAGACCTAAAGGGATCATTATTTCTCATAAATTATATATAATCTACTCTTTATGTAAGCTTAATTTCATGAGCCAGATGTTTTTAATTTTTTCAAACTATGAAAATCAATATGATTTAATATCTGAATAAGTAGTATATTTCTGCTTCATTAATTCTGGTTAAATTTTGACATTAATTCCATACCTGTTTTGTCAGATGAAATAGAAAAATATTAAATATTACCAGATAAAAATTACTTTCTAGAACTTCCTATCTTAATCTACTTCACAGATGACTAAAAAGATGACTAGAATTCTTGACAAAAAACCCCAAATCAACTACCCAACACAACTTCCCTTCATAGTGTTCCCATGCAGAACAATGACAATTACAAAGCTTCTCTAAAGAAAAACTAAAGTGATTAAAAAGTACTATAATGATTTACATACACTTTACTATTATCACCTGTATGAGATCATGCATCTAAATAAGTTATATACCATTCTGACCCAGCAAACAGTGCATCCATCATAGAAGGTCAATTGTCATAACTTCACTGAAGTTCTTAGGAATCATCACTTCAATGGTTTTCACTTATGAAATAAAGTTCCATAGAAATACCAAATATAATACAGAATAATTTCAATCCAAAACCTAACACAGTATTTTTACTTGTAGAGGACATATAGGATTCACAAGACTTGAATTTAGATATTCCAAAACTGCCTTACCATGGTGTAGTTGTGAGCCACCTTCATAAGCTCTGTGCACCCTTGTGCATCAGCAAATGCTCGTATTCCCAAACAGTTGGATGGGTGCAAAAGCTTCATTAGAAAATGGCAGCAAACCTCTACTACTTGGGGGAGCTGGAGAAGGCAGGCAGCTGCCAGGAGGTTTTCAATGGTGTCTTCTTTTAATTCCAGGCAGCCTAAAAAAAAGTATTGATAACAAATGCAAACTTATTTACTTAGTATTTACAAAACATACAGTACTGAAAGATGTTTTCATAAATAATTGTAGCTCTATATAAATAACTCTACAGAAAAAGTGAAGGAAAGAAGGATTAACCTCCCTGACTGAACACCACAGTAACCTGGAAATTACAGTATTAGAAATATTTCTTTTTAAAATACTATTAATTCAACTATATAACAGGCATAAAAAGAGAGACTGTATCAAATGGAAGAGAAGACTCAGAATATCTCAATATCAACCAGGCTGTGGATGGGTTTTTTTTGTTGGGTTTCCTTTCTTTTTCTCATTGAAATTTGTGATAAAACTTGTGTTATCTTCAGTGGCACAGACCAAACCTCACAGCCATTTACTTCCTTGAAAAGAATGAAATAACTGTCTAGTATAGTATGCATAAACCCATAAATACATCTTCAATACAAGGCTTAACAGTCTTCAAACATTGTGTTGCTTATTTGTAATGTGACTTTAGGATTAATGTTATCTGAGTAACATCTGGCAGGCTTCTCATAACACATAGCTCCTCTAAAATAATTTATACTGGGGAATAGAACCATTAATTAATACTTATATTGCACTTAGTTCTGTAATTTCACAAGTCATTATCTTTACCTTGGAGACTGACACACTTTATAATATATAAAAGGTTAAATAGAATAAAATAAACCTTAAAAAGAATTTATTTTATGCTGGAATATGTAATTCTTGTTATAATGCTCCCCAAAACCATAATATTAAAATTTATTTTTACATTAGAATCTTGTAAATCTCTTACATTAATAACTTAAAAATCTTCAAACTAAAGATTACAAGGATGTTTTGGAGAACTGATGAAAAAAAAGAATAGGAAAATGAAATGTGCAAATTTAATACAAATTGCCAATAAATACTTCTGATTTTATTGTGCTGTGCTCAGAAAAGCAATTTCCGTCTGTAAGAGGATTAAGTGCATATTGATCTTTCTCTTAAAAGTATTACAGTTCAACACCTAGATAAACTCACTCTTTTCCCCACAGAATCTTTGTATTTGTTGTCACATAAAAAAAATCTAAAAATCCTAATCTATTGCATGGCACTAAGGAGTTCTAAAATCCTCAAATTCATAACAGCATGCCATTGAAAAGACGTTTTATATTGCAGTACCACACCCAAAATACAGTAACATTAACACGACACATCTGATCTTTTCTCCTTCCACTGTATCTCAAGTTTTTAATATAAGAGGGAAACTGTGAAGTTATACTTTACCAGATTTAGTTATAACACATCCTTTTGCAAAGGTCAGAGCATCAGCTCAAGCGCACTGCTTAATTTCAGTGGGTTTCCTCTCCTTATTTTTATTATTTTATTAATGTCACATGAGTTTTTCTTTATATTAGCTAACCTTTTCTCACAATTTCTGTACACCCCATCTTTATGCAGTGTGATCAGAAGGTACCCTCAGAAGCAGATTATTAGCTGACCCATATATTCATCAATGACACTCCCACATTTGCTGCATGCCTGCAGGTAATGGCTAGCTCAACACACAATTCTGGAAGACAGTTCCAGTGTGTAAAGTGGAAGCATTCAAAAAATAGTTGTTTTCAGGTTAAAACTGACCATCCTGGTAACAGAAGTAAAAAAATTAAAAATGTGCAAAACACCTTTGAAAATTGGATGACCTGAGAAATGGAAAAAAAAACCAAAAAACAACCAAAACAAAAACAAAACAAAACAAACAAAAAAAACCACCACCCCCCAAAAACAACAAAAAAGAAAAAAAAACCACAAAAAAACAAAACAACAACAAAAAAACAACAACAAAAAAACTAAAAAACCCACCAAAAAACACCAAACAAACAAAACAAAACAAAAAAACCCCAAACAAACAAAAAGAAAAAACCAAAACCAAGACAAACAAAAAAACCCCCCACAAAAATAAAAACAAAAAAAAAAAAAAGAAATTCTAAATCTCCTTTGCTTAAATGCCATTTATTTTTCAACAGTGAGCTCAAAAAGTCTCTGGCCTTACAAAACTGAAAACTGTTCCAGGTAGCATTTACAAAGCAACGTAAGTGTAGAAAGAATCACTTTCGGTATCCTAACTTTATAAGGAAAGGTCACACTCTCATGGTTTGGCCTGTTTATTGCTAAAGGTAGCTACCCTTAGGAGAAGAACCCAAAGGAATCAATTGAAACCACATCAATATATTTGTTTTCAAATTGAGATATTTTCTGTTCACTTTAAGGTACACTAGTAGTGGTACAGTATTAGTTTGGAAATAGTAGGATTAAACTAAGTTTAAAACAATAAAAAATTTTATCTGTTTTATGAGTCATCTATTTTTTATGTAACTAACATGGACATTTTGAAGAAGATTCTTCACACTTTTATAGAAGAGCGTGAACACATTTCTGCTTTACATTTTAATAGAGGAAGTAAACATACAACCACTTCTGGCATATCTAGGCATACGAATATATTATAGCTTGACATATTTTTAACTATATTCAGAAATAGTAATTTACTACTTAATATATCTATGATAAAAGCTAGAAAAATACACTCAGTATGAGTTAAAGAATTATTTGTTCATTCTTTTAGCTTCAATGATAGATAGGTTTTAATCCACCTAAATGTCTTCCAAATCTTAATTATCTTCTTTTTAAACATCAAGACACCTTCATAAATTTGTTTACAAGGTCTGTATTCCCTTTTTCAGAAGAATGCTATGACATTTTTATTCAAATTCCTCTGGGATATCGAGTGTTTAGCATGGTCAGAGTTTGAAAAAAGAAAGCTGTTAAGGGGCTCTGTACATAAAATATGAAATCTTCAGACAGTTTCATATTGGCAATTAGAAGATCCAAGCATCTATTTAAAAATGTTTAATGGGATATTCAAGGGGCATTAATATTACTGCTTCTTCAATTCACCTCCCCCTCACATTTTTATGCAATAAAAGCTTGCACAAGCGCCTTAGTCTGAGAAAAACAAATTAACTGGAGCTTAAAATCTCCTTTTGCATTACATTAATTAAGATGAAAAAATATGAGGAAAAAACAGTCAGAAGAACATTAATGAATTCTAATTGTTATTCTAAATTATAGCTGTATTTGTGAAAAACTTTATGTGCATTGCTTATGCAGAAATTAAAATGCCTGCCTTTAGCATACATTCTTATAGCGACTACATACATTTTATTACCTCATTACCAAATGTGAAGCAGAGATAATATAAGAATTTCTGATACTCTTGTTCTGTTGCTAAACCTTTTCCCAAGTTCAGGGACAGTTATATCTTAGAGTTGGTTTCTGGGGTTTTGTTTGTTTAGGTTTTTGGTTTTGGTTTTTTTGTTGCTGGTGTTTTTGGGGTTCTTCTGTTTTTGGTTTTGGGTTGTTTTGTTTTGGGGGGTTTTTTTGGGTTTTTTTGTTTTGCCTTTTTTTTTTTATTCTCTCTGTTACAGTAGTGACTATACTTTAGAACTATTTTTGTTTACAGGGAACCACTGCACCTTTGCCCATCTTTGTATGATGTTAAATAAGGTCAGTTTGTATCACAGGAACAGCCTGCCACATGTAATTGACCAACAGACTGGACCTGTGGTGGGACAACTCAGTAGATACAGATCATTTGCCCTGTGTATAAGCAATGAAATTTACCTAAATTTGTAACACATCATAATATAATTTTACATCATGTTCACAGTAGTATTTTTTTCTCTTTTGAAATTACACACTTACCCATTCATAGCAAGACTCCTCAACTCCTCAACATTCTTAAGAGGGTTGTGTGTCCAAGGGAAATCATGGGAAGTGTCAAGGAATTAGAAACAAAGGCTAAAACTAATTCCTTGAAATTAGGTATTTATCTTTTTAATCTTTCTATTTCATGTTGTTTGATCAGTTGTGTTGCAGTTTTGAAATGTTGCTGAATGAAATTATTTCTGAAGGCTGATCAGTTTTAGGAGGTCTAAGTTTTGGGTTTTTTTTAAGGTAGTAAATGGTATCAAGAGAATATTTATTCATTTTTTGCATAGTAGATTAATTGACTACAATAAGAAATTGGTCTCTTGAAAAAGCATCTAATTCAATTGAAGACTTGAAAAAGCTTGTTAAAAAGGTGCTATGCCTCACACCTCTGTAATAAACCTTTTTGCCATTGCTTATCTTAATCATTCCAAATTTTAGGTACTTTGAGGTAGCCACCTGACCTCATCACCCAAGATCTCCTTTTACAGTTCACAGAGAGAAACAGGAAGCCTTACAGCAGTTTTCACCTGCTCTGTTTCAGTCATGTACTGCAGAATGAGATTAATCACTCCCTGAATGGCTGTTTCTTGATTTCAGCTACAAAAGGAGCTCTTCGTTTGACTTACTGAGACACACTGATGTTCATATTTGTTGATATGTCTATCCACGAGGATCAGTCAATGAAGAATGCTATAAAAAGTATCTTCTGTGTAGCAAAACATTTTTTGGTCTCCAGTTTGACCTATGCCTTAAAAGATAAATTCTGTGTTGCATTGTCTTCCATACTTATGATAAAGGTGAAGATATTTTCAGAAAAGAAAACAGGACACAATATATTCACTTAGCAGAAGTTTCTTCTGATCAAAATGTGTTTTATTTTCTATTAATTATTTGCTGCAGACCACATTCATCAGCTGTGCTTGAGGAAGAAGCCATTCTGTGGCTGTGTTTATTTAGAATCACAGAATGATTTGGGTTGGAAGGGACCGTAAAGATCATCTATGGGAGAACAAAGGGGAGACAGAACAGAGACCACAGTGGAGCTTATAGAATGGGTTGTTCTGGCTTTGGTGGGATACAGACCCTGGGAAAAGAGACCACAGATAGGGAAAAGAACTGTACGTAACTATCAAGGTCTTTGAAATTATATAGCTTTGTAAGGCTGCCACGTAATGTGAACAATAGGCTATCTGCAGCTAGTGGGAAATTTTTGCTAAAAGA